CAAACTTCCTCGGGAAGGACCGGTGACGTCGTCCACCGCCCTCCCGCTTCCCCCACCGCCCCCCGTTCCCCCCATCCTCCTGACCCTTCTCCCCTCCCCCTCGCGTGACCCGCCCCCTCGGGGGTCAGAGATGCTATCGCTCGGTTGGGGAACGCGGAGGTGCCTGCACCTACTCCGTGCTTGCGTGAGCTTGCGTCACACTCCCGGCCACTGACCTGCCTCTCCCCTCCTCCTGTGTGTGTGTATCTCCTAGGGACGGAGTTGGACGAAAGTTTCAAGGAGTTTGGGAAAAACCGCGAAGTCATGGGGCTCTGTCGCGAAGGTGAGTCCAGCCCCCTGAAGGAGTTTGTGCAAGCCCGCGGGAAGCATCCTGGCCGGCTTACCATGGCGGGAGCTTGCGCCCACCTGACCCACTCCGCCCCTGGCATGCGAGGATGCTGCCTGAGGAAGCAGAAGGGGGAGAACGGAGCGTTTGGAAAGTCCGGTTTCCGGGGGCTTGCTGTAAGGGGGGCGTCCGGAACCCTTCTGTGGAGCCCTTGCTGGGTGCAGGTTGAGTAACATTGCTCAGTGATGAGCGCTGGGGACCAGCGCTGAGTTTAACTCCGAGATCCTTTCGGGTCCAAACCCCTTACGGAGAAACACGTGTGGAGGAAGGCATTCTCAGCTTCTGAAAACATTTTCACGAATGCCTTAGGGGGCTCTGGAAAGGAATCTTTGCCACCTGAAATTTTCTGCCGGCAATCAAAATGAATTTTGAACTTTAAAAAAGACGCTTTACCTGTGCAGCCTTGTTTCTATGGGATTTACGTTACAAAGGTTCATCTAAAGGATCACAAATGAGGAGCAGTTGGTCGGATTTTTTTTTTCTTTTTGTGAGCTGCCAAGATCAGCGGAGGTGAAACCAGCCTTTAGTGCTCTTAGCTAGTGAAATCAGACACTAATTATTGGTCAGTTTTTATTCAACCTGTTTGGGAGAAGCATACTCTAGAGAAATGTCGGTTGCTAAAGGATGCCTCCAGATGAAAGGTCAAGTGTCTTGGAACTGTCAGGTTTTCTTGCAGGTTTTCTTTTTCTGTGAATAGTCATTTTGACTGTCTAATGCCTAATCCAGGCTTGGGCGCACCCTGCTCAGAGAGCTTCAGGGGGCCAGTCAGCTTTAAGTTTTGTTCAAGCTGTTCCTTCAGTGGTAGTGTGGACAAGGACTTGAGTGAGATTTGGAGATTTGGTATTCAAAACAGAGTTTATATTCCCAGTACAATTTTCTTAGGATGGCCATTTATTTTGGCATAGTTATTGTCAATGGCCCCAGAATAGGTAGAACTTGGCAAGTGGAATATTTTAAAGTCCAGAGTCGATTCATTGTTACTCTGTCTCCACATTGACTCCTTGTTTTTAGTGCCTGCCTGGGTCTTCACGTGCACTGTTCTGTTTTTTTTTTTCGACTGGCTATTTATTGGCCTCTTGGCCCTAGGAGGAAGAGTAATACCAGTGGCAGCTGTCTGAGAGCTCCCAGTTGGAACAGATTAGAGAGCAAATTAGTTGATTTTGAGAGTGAAAATTGCTGTTTGAGAGCAAAGGAAGGAGGGAAGGCACAGGACTTGCTGGTGATGTTGCAATAGGAAAAATCAGTTGTTAGTCCGGTTTTAGTGTTGAATTGGCAGCCCGCCTGGGCTTAAAAAGTTAAAATCACTAGGTGGCAACTCTCATAGGAAGCAGTTGGAGTAGAACTTTAGAGGACCTGATCAACTCCTGTTCTTAGTTTTTATTCTCTGGGTGTGGATGCATTTCCCATAAAGGGTTTCTAAAGCTGTTTGAAAACAGGTGCTAATTATTGGTAATTCCCCTATAGAGAACGAGTAAGTGTATTAGTGTTGCACTGGGCATCTTGGCCTGGACTGAGACCCAACCAAATTTAGTTGCCTGGACCCACTTTTTGCTGTATTTATTGTTTTCTGTTGGGAAATAGTCATCAGTAGATTTTACCAAGAAGGTCTAGGATTTCTTGACTACTTTATTGAGGCTCAGAGTGATTATAGATTTGGTTGTGTGTGCTTCTGACTTATCAAATTGTTAGTGACTGTTAGAGGTGTCATTTTTTTGGTAAGCTGCTTGAACCCCTTACGAGGATGCTGAAGCAGCCAGGATGGCCGAAACTCTTCCTGCCTGTTTTGAATAGAGGATGAAGTTTTTCGTTCAGTCAGTTCTTGACTCGTTTGTGACTTCGTGGATTTTCTAGGATAGTTTAAAAATCCAGGCGTAAGGATGTTCAGCGCTAACACAGTGGGCCTTTTTTTCCCCTAACAGTTCATGTCAGGCTGCTTAAGAAATGAAAATGCATTTTTATTTGTTTATATATTTTTTTTATTGAAGTACAGTTGAATACAATGTGCCAATCTCTGGTGTACAGCACAGTGTCCCAGTCATGCATATACACACATAAATTCATTTTCATAACCTTTTTAATTAAAGGTTATAAGATATTGAACATAGTTCCCTGTGCTATAGAAAAGAAACTTTTTTAAAATCTGTTTTTGTATATAGTGGCTAACATTTGTAAATCTCAAAGTCCCAAATTTATCCCCTCCCACCCCGTTTCCCTGATACCCATAAGATTGTTTATTATGTCTGCAAGTCTGTTTCTGTTTTGTAGATGAGTTAGTTCGTAATGTCCTTTGTTTTCTTGTTTTAAGATTCCACATATGAGTGATATATGGTATTTTTCTTTCTGGCTTACTTCTCTTAGAATGACGATCTCTAGGTCCATCTGTGTTGCTGCAAATGGCATTATTTTGTTCTTTTTGTGGCAGAGTAGTATTCCATTGTATAAATATACCATAGAAAATGCATTTTTAAATAATCAAAAATTATTCAAAAGTTATCCTTTGTCTTTGGCTGAGATTATCTCCTGCCAATAAAAGGTGTTTGGGAATTCATACTAATTCCTCTTGTCAACAAAGTTAAAGCAAGAAGAAATATGTAGATAACATTGATAATATGAATGAAGCACTAGGTCAGAAACTTCCCATCTTACAAGACATTTAGGAGTATTGACCAGACTTTTTGAATTCTCTAGTTCACGGCTGTGTACCTTAGGGGTTAGAAATCTGAGTATGAGATAAAGTTGCTTAACCTTACATTAGTTGTTTTACCTTTCAGAATTGAACTGTCCCTCTTTGTAAAAAGAGAGAATATCTATTTCCCATAGGTAAGGGTTAAAATTAAAGTAGGTAACATGGAAAATGACTCAGTACATACTAATTCCTTTCAACCCTTTTAACTACTGATAATCTTAGACCTGATCTCCTAATTTGGTATTTCTCTAGGTCAGGGGTTTTTAACCTGGGACTTGCATGGGCTTCAGGGGGTTTGAAATTGAGTGCAAAATGGTCCTCTTTCTGTGGCAAGTTTCCCCAGCTTATCTTGAAGTCTCAAAGATTCTTCACGTACCTCTGTCCCCAAAATTGAAAACTGCTAAGCTTGTATCGTTGTCTTTTTTTCTTTTCTTTTTGTTGTTGTGGCTTATTTTGGCCAGTTCCCTCATGGCAAGTCTCTCCAAGGGGTTAATGCTGTGGGAGGGGTTGGAAATACTGATTTAGGTGACAGTGACTTTATCTGTGGCTTAGCTAATATGTCACCCCCCTTTCTTCCTATCAGCACAGTAGGCAAATGTTGGGATAGAATTTCAGTTATCTTTCAGAGGTCAGCCTATTTTTCATCTGCATCCCCATATTTTCATTGGCCTGTTTGTTTTATTCTGTAATTTGTAGTATTATTTGATAGCATAGTTGGTTTTGGTGGGAAAAGATTGATAATACATTTTTAACTTTTTCAGAAAAACAAAGCTCAAGAAAAGTTACATTTTTCAAAAGGTGATTTTTGAAGTTGTAGATTTAACAAAATAATGTTTAGATGAAATTAATTGGTATGATTAACTGATTAAGATGTCCATGTTATTAGTACCTAAACATATAGGGAACCTTAAAAAATGAAAACATTGAATGTCTTAATTTATCAGCAAACTGAAACAAAATATATAGTGTGATTGTGGAAGTCAACAGTGGAATTAGAAAAAAGGATTTTTTCTTTGGGAAGTCATTCTTAACTTCTCTTAAGCCCACCTGTTGTCCGGTATCAAAGTACCCTGCACTTTTCCTTCCTTCAAACTCTCTACCTATTGCCATTTGAATGTGTGTATTATGTGACGGTCCTTTTATGAGAGTGCAAGCTCCCAGAGGACAAAGATGTTAGTGATCCAGGATATATTCAGCTCCTGCACGTCGTTTGTGCTCAGTGAATATTTGCCCCCAAAATGAATGAACTGGGCTACTAGGAAGACTGAAGGGTTCAAATAACCAATTTTCCATTGTGTTTTGAGTCAAAAACAGGTCCCTGTTCTGTGGGGAGATGTGCTTTCTGGCCCCAGGGGAGGCCAGGGACTGTCTTTCAGTTCTTCCTGTGTCTCTGTCCTGAGTTTAACACTCCATTTACACTTCCCAGAAAGAGTGCAGACAGGACACCACCTCTCTTATCTCTGATATTTAGGCAAGGGAGTAGGATGGCAACCTAGGGTGATACCCACACTTGATGACAGGTGACTTCCCTGTCAAAATAATAGGGACATAATTGAGCCTAGGGCAAGATAGAAAAGAGGTTGCTTGGCACCTACAGGCAACTAGGTTAAAAAAAGACTAGGGAGGTGGGCAGGCTCAGTCAACATGGTGTCAACATAGTACCACCTTCTTCTTTCTGAGGGAATAAAAATTGTTCATAGTCAGTTAACTGAAAACAAATAGGTATTTGTGCGAAGGCCTGTTAAAGTAGCGACGTTATAAGGCAGAAAACCCTCTCCCTGAAGTAAAGAGTGTTTCTGTTTTTCTTTAGTGTTTGTTTCTCTTATGTTCCACCGCCCGACCCCAGCTTTTTCTTATGGACAATTTGAAATTTACAGAAGTAGAGAAAATATTTTAATGAGCCTCCATATATATATATACATACACACACACACACACACACACACACATATATCTTTCCTACAGCTTAAACAGCTAATGAGTCACTGCTCAATCTTGTTTCATCTCTACTGTACTCCCCATACTGAATTATTTTGAAGCACGTCCCAGACATCATATCATTTCTTTTGGTTTTCTTTTTTGTGCTTGTGTGGACTTCAGCTTGTGTCCTACAAGATGGAGTCTTTATGTGTGCTGCGCCTTCAGGGGCACGCCTCCTGCCACCTGTGATTCCCCCCGTGAGCACGCAAGAGTGCAGGCAGCAGGGCTTGCTGCCTGCCGGCATCTCAACTGGAGACAGGATTCAGTGCCA